ATGGAAAAACTTTCTCGATTCAAAGGTGCAATGGAAGAATCACCCATCGGATAATAAAATCGTGTGAATAACTCCAGTCGTTCTAATATGCCGTATCGACTCCAGTCAAGGGCACAAACACGAAAGAAAAGTCGAAACGTTTATCCATCGATTGACCTACCGGCCTCACCTGCCGTGTCTTGACGTTGAAAAAAAAATGATTTCTGTTGAAATTCCGTTCGAAACGCAATCCCATTGTTTTGAGTTCCTTTTACTCCTGTCCTTCCAGGAAAGGCCTGCAATAAATTTTCGAAAAATTACCGCGAAACCCGCAAACGGCCCTTTTTCACAATATTAATTAAAAAAAACACAAACTTCTCTGAATCTTTAACAAACAGCAAATTTGCCGAATCCTCATTAATTGAAATTAAAATCTAATTCATTGAGATTTCAATTTCAATCCAGTAATTGATTTGACGTATTGATTAATCATAAAACCAACATATCAATAATTTGACGAATTAATAGATTGAAATTCCAGGAAATTTCCGGAAGTTTAATGAAAAAAAATGATTGGTCAATGGTAAAAGCCACTGGAGTGACACTTTTGGCATGAGTTGCTCCTTAGAGAGGATGCGGAATAAATTTGTTATGGAAATGCGCGAAAATAGGGTAAAGTTGGAAATTTAGAGTAATAATTTCCGGCACGCACCTGTTGGAAATTGGATACAATGGTGAGTCTCGGATTCGTAAACGTCTACAGATGATATTTGGAGACGGATGTCCATATCTCCACTTCCGTTCACCTTAGTTGACAGTTCACATTCTCATCCCGTTATCGTTTTATCCACGCAGCTATTCGCGTTTTCACGGGTTTCACGTATTTCGTTGCTCTGGAAATATGTGGAAACAGTGGTAATTCAATGCTCGACGCACAATCTTGTGAATATGAGTTACCATATCCGTTTGGATATTTTTTTCTTTTCGATTTATTTTACCGCAGTTTTCAGGATTTTTCTGCACGCGCAGGTGAAGAACTAACTGAGGCTGTGGAGAATCGTCTGGATCGATGACCTGGGGATAATCACTCGGCTGGCTACACGTGTCCATTAAAATATTTCCGATATTTGCCTTGAAACGCGGAGAAATTTGATTTCTCAAAACAAATTGCGAAACATCCCCGAGAAAAATAAAATCTACAGCCACACTGATAGAAAAAAAATTGATGTGAAGAGGTAGCGATTGTTATTTTCTAGGATTTTATTCGATGTTGTTCAGGTGAAATGTACAAAAAGTAAAAGGCTTCTACCGTTGAAAATAAAATAAATTCTCATAATAATGTCGAGCACTCGTACAACGAATTGCAGACTCATGCCCGGTGGTCAGCATGTGTCCAAATGATATTTCGAATATTTGATTTGATTTGGAAGGGGTCGAGGTCGATTGGTACACGTGGACGATCAATCCCAAGGATCGATGCCGCAATAATTCCGTCTGGAGGCAGATACTGTCTGGAGATGCTGGAGACTTCGAGCCGGTTCCTCGAGGTCCTTCCGGTGTAAATATTTGATTATAAATCGTGGTTTATCTCCGGAGAAAGTGGGGGTCAATGAGCTTAGGAGGACCTCGGGGTTTTCAGTACTGCGAGGTGTAATCGAAATTGTTGAAACGGAGGAAGCGACGGGGACGACTGTGCACCGAGCAGGGATTGCTGTTTTGGCGGATGCAGCACGGCTTCCAGGTGGGCTTCTGGGGGATTGGGGGCACGATGCAGATGCTCTTCGAGGATTGGGAAGGA